AGTTACGGAAAAATCAATTAACAAACGGAGACGTAACAATATTTTTAATGAAGACTTCAATGATGAAAGACAATATGGCTTTCTATACCTCTCTAGGACAGGTCTAGATACTGACTGACTGCTTAAAAACATGCTTCAGTATACCAAATATCTTTATATTACTGAAACCACACTACCACTAAGTTCATGTGAATGTTCGGCACCTGTTTACTACCAGTTGAATAATTATCTGAAGTGTTCACAAGCTGAAGAAAGACTGAGAGCTCTAGCTTTAATACATAATCATTATGATACTACTATCAATGTCAGGTTTTATTTGTATGTGCCAGATTCTTTACAGTTGGTGTCTGTGACTAGTTGGCGATAAATTTCAACAATAAACAAATAGCACACAGTCCACTTCTTTTAAAATAAAATATTAAAACAAGTCAAGTGTATATGCCAATGTTCATTACACATGTTGGTTATCACAGTTGTATCCACAGGTTTAACTAATTGTCTCTTTTTTCGTCAAAGTCCACACAGTCTGATTCAATTACTTTAGAACACACTTAACAAGACGAATTATTCTTCTCTACACTGTTATTACAATCAAATCTGTGATATTTTCATTTTAAAACCGCCACTATACGTCCTGTATGGCTAAACTCACAATCACTCAGTCTAGAGATCTAGAACTTTCGATACACTACTAGATATTATGATGCAATAATACTCAATTAAAACAACGAGAAAATCTCAAAAGGTTCAAGAAAAAACGCAAGAATATAATAATTACCAATTCATAACTATTGAACTACATAACGTGTGGTTCGTAAACAGTTACGTTAGCAAACTTGCGATAAACTATTACTTCGAAAATAACTAAGTTTAACACTCGTGCTATATGAACCATCTAAATTATAACAGTCGCATTAAATTTAAACAGAAACAGTCGTTTATATCCAATGTCGGGTTAAGTATTTATGAGGCCCTGGGCTAAAAATTTAAATAGGACATCAGATGTATTTTCACCCTATTTCATTAAGAAGAATTATTGGTTTATAAAACTTTTATTTTTGAATACAGTTAAATAACTGAATCACAAACTAAAAATTAAATTTGTATTTTCAAACACAATTAACTAAACGAAACAAAAACCCACAAATCGATATTTATCTTTGAACGCAATTAAATAAATAAATAAAACAATATTTTTTATCCTGGAAAAATGTTTAATATATTACAAAAAAAGTTAAAATATTTTATTACTTTTACTAAGTACATCTATTAAAAAGCTTTGGCCTTTTAATGAGATGTGATTTACTGTGTAACATAAACTGCACATAAGTAAGAGAAGATTAACTCAGTATAAGTGTTTATTTAAATATTACACATTTGAGATAGCGCTTAGGCTCCCTTGGCTCCAGCCCAGTTAGCCTTTGCGTTAATTCGGCATTGTTATATCTAACAATCAACAATGAAACTGTATGTAAGTTACTTATGGAAAAGCACCCCAGAAGAATGGTGCATACTAACATGTTATTTCAGTAATGCGTAGGCCCGGCATGGCCAGGTGGTTAAGGCGCTCGACTCACAATCATTCCCCATCATTCCAAACATGCTTTTCCTTTCAGCCGTGGGGGCGTTATAATGTGACGGTCACTATTCGTTGGTAAAAGAGTAGCCCAAGAGTTGGCGGTGAGTGGTAATGACTAGCTGCCTTCCCTCTAGTCTTACACTGCTAAATTGGGGACGGCTAGCGCAGATAGCCCTCGTGTAGCTTTGCGTGAAATCCATAACAAACAAACAGTAATGCATACATGCATGTATATGATGGCCAATAATTGAAATACCTAATATACTATTGTAATACAGAGTTGTTTAAATAAGTATGATAACCTAACAATTAATAACTGCTCTGCTTATAGATAGTACAGTACTTTACTGTAATAAAGCATATATATTTATGCTAATTTAACTCTAGTTCCCCATGCAGTGTTACAACAGAATGATGATTTGTTGACTTTTCATTGGATGTTTGTGGATTTTATGTGAAATGCCAAGCAATTTTTCAAAGCTGTATCTCATGCAAATTGCCTCCAGATTTAATTTCATAGCACCCATTTTTTACAAATTTTCTGGAGTGTATGCACCCATACATTAATTTGCTTTGCACAGCATCTATTGACTTTTGATCTCACAAATTAGAAAAACCTTTCAAACATCCCGCGTTCTGGCCTGAATATTAACAATTTATATTCATATCTTTGTGGCACTTTCTAAAAGTTTTAATCGGACATTATTTCTAAATAGCACTTGTAATAAATTCACTTTTCATAATATTTACACATATCAGGGTCTGAAATTTACAAAATTTTGAATCGCCCGTTCCAAGAACATGTATATGTAATAACGTAGTTGTAATTTTTAAGAATTAAGATACAATTGTAAATATACATGTGCTCGATTCACTGCGATGGACACAGCGAACAGCCTAATGTGGTTTTATTCTAAAACAAATAAATGGCAACAAGCCGCCATATACAACTATAGTTTAAAATAATTAAACGCTACTTATTTCACAATACCTTTAAAATAAGATTGAATTTTTCTTAAACGTTTAAAGTATTTTCAGCTTATTTAATAATGTTTAACCATAACAAATATTTAACACAACATGTTAAAAAATAAAGAAAAAAATCAACGTATAACGGATAATCAGAGAAGTTTTTCATACTATGGATTTTGCTTTTCATAACTTAATGTATTTAGAAAGAAAGCCGTCGTACTTCATTGGAGTAATTCTGACTTAGTATCGTGTTGCTGTTACTAGAATGTGTGACGTGAATTGTATGTTATTATAAATTAATTTTTACGCTTTTGTTATTTCATTTGAAATCTACATTTTTATTCAAATTTAGCTAGTAGTTTAAATGAAAAATAAAACGCTTGTTCTCTTTGCATAACAAAGATCATGCGAAGTAATATTGTATAACTGTTTTAACTAATAGTAATACTTTTAAAATATAATGCATAATATTAATAATAATTGTAATAGTAATACTAAATAAAATTGCGACAATAAGTGATAGTTCTAGTATGAACTTGTATGACACTATGGTACAACTAGTACTACTACCACTAGTTGTATAGACTAATAGTAATACGTCAATGATGTTTGTAAAAACTCAGAACAGATCATTATTTTAGTTCATATGTATTGCAGGGTTTACACATTTAATTTTAGGTACTTAAACTTGTTCATATGTGCAGCTTGCAAAATATTGACTGTTTTGTTACCTAGGATAATTTAATATTATTAAAGTTATTGATAAGATTGGTGCATCTTTTTTTTTATGTTGTTGAATTCTAACGTTGTAAAGCAAGGTCAGAAACTTGATATTTGGAAAGGTCACACTCATCACTAGTTGAGCAGTTTTATTTTTTCAATAGGATGGTAAATCTCTGCAACAAATTGCTATTTAGAGTAGTATAAAGCTGTAATTTTACAGGAGAGTATGAAAATTGAAAAGGTGTGAACCTTAATTGGTATTAAAGGTGATTAGAGTTGGACTCTGATTAGTATTCACATTTGGGGATTATCTGAGAGTCAGGACATTCTTGATGAGCCAAAATGAAAGGCTCCTTAGTAACCCATAAATTATAAATTTACTTGTACCACATTTTAGTGATCACTTCTAACATTAAATACCTTTTCTAAATAACATTCTGAATACCTTTATCCATATTATTTGAATTTCCATTATCAAACAGTAAATCAACCCCAGATTTTGTAGTTTCTAGTGGGCTTCTTATGAAAATAAATCAGTTGTGGTATATAAGCCCTAAATTATTCACATTTACTGGACAGGAATCATACAATGCCAAATTGGGCATTAAGTGAAATACATGATACACTCCTACATGTTATAGTGTGGTTTAAAAAGAATTTATAAATCATTGAAGATATATTTTTCAGCACTGTGAAGGTCAGTTTTTAATAAGCTTAACTTAGATGAATCTTAAATGATTGAAATGTAGGTGGGTTTTTACCATTGCCAAATTATATGCACAAATATTAAAATTTCTTAAGTTTGAGATAGTAATATTTTGAGTTTTATGAACATATTTATGTATCAGTTTGAAGAACTTTTAAAAATTCTCACAGTACTGTGTTAAATATCTTTTTGTACCAGTCTCTTCATGACTTAAAAGTACATATAACAAGAATTTTACATTTTGTTTTTCACACAAGCAAGAAAGGACAGCTCCAGTATTGTAATGTGGTGATGTTCTCAAGATATGGGTACTTAATGATCCCACATTGTTTAGTACTCAGAAATTCAAAACCTGAAAGTTGTTTTAAAACTTTATTTACCTGTTATTTGAATTTGTTTGAGGAATATTAACTGATGTTAAACAAAATCACATTGTGAATTAGCAACTGAAACAGTAGTAAACCACAATCTGATCCCACATACATGGAGCAGCCATGTAATAAACTGTGACCTGATACTGTGTGTAGGGCAACCATGTAGAGCTGGGTGATCAGAGAAATGTGCTAATGGATTAAACATTGGGCTTGGTAATTAATTACATCCAACTAATTGATTATTCTCACATGAGACTTGGATGGTTGGAATAATTGGAGAACTAACATAGATTATTTTCATCAGTTGTGTCACTAATTCATTAAGTTGAGCAACCTTAACTTAAAAAATAAGAAATTGTAATGGTGAATTTCAATTTCTTGGATAATTGGAATAATCAAAAACACTAACAGTTGGAAACACCGATTTTTTTAGTTGATTATTTTTGTGACATTGATTGGTTTGATCAAAATATCAGTTAGTCAACTATTTTACTTAACACTAATCAATGCTCTTAGGTAATTGAATATATCAACTTAATCACCCAGTGCTACAACCATATCTTGTAACAGTCTCTGAAATACATCAGCATCCACTTTCTTATTAGATTTTGTAGAATATACATTACTTTATACAATAAAAACTGTATTTATTACCCATATAAGTTGTATGGAAGCCTATTTCTACGTATGAAAAAGAATATTTTGAACAGATGAGTAGTACTAGGTCTGCCTGCATCTGGTGTGAGGGTTATTACATTTCATAATGGCATGACAAAATATACATTTTAGTCATTAACCTTAATCCTGGCTAGTACAATCTGCTTAATTCTTTTAACCATGTTTGCAATACCCGAATGACCTGCTAAAGAATGATCAAAATAATAAAGTGCTCTACCTTTCAAAACTTGAACCTATACAACTGAAAAATGTTCCAACTCCTAAAGCCATATATTTTTGCACATGTAAGACCATATCTGATAGTAAAGTTAAGATACTCTTCAGGACCTTTAACTACATATTTCTTTAATTTTTGAAAATGAGGAATTTCATTGAGGCAAATCTTGGTTTATTAATCTGTTAACTTTTTTAAGGATTTCACTTATTATCAAGAAATGGTATGCTTAAGTTTCAAAAAGCTTTTCAGTAGATGTCTTTATATACTTAGCCTTCAGAAAACATAAAAACTCAAACCATCCCATTTCAGTCAGGCCCAACCTTCTCCTCTCTGGCTCCATTCTATGGAATGGGCCATTTGGAAAGCTCTATCTGTTCCCTCACTTACAGTTCACAAGGTTCTGTCACTTTTGTGAATGTGGTCCTCCATGACCTATCTCATATCCCTGGGCAGGGCCCATATGCTGTTTCTTCAATAGATCAAAGGAACCTTGCCCAGGATCCCTTTGATACTCTAATATTTCTTCCCTCATGCCTTGTAGACGATCTCCATTGGTGGTTGAATAGGGTCCACATGTTGGTGGGGTCCCGCTTCCTTCACTGTGGCCAAATTTACATCTGTTCACGGATGCATCTCTTCAGGGCTGGGGTGCCTCGGTGGATCACCGGGAGGTTTTGGATTGTTGGTCTGTGGTAGACAGTTCTCTTCATATCAATGTTCTAGAACTTTTGGCTGTTCTTCAGGCTTTGGATCAATTTCTTTCTCTTGCCAGTCACCAGCTGGTTATGATCCATCCCAGCAATTCTACCATGGTGGCTTATATCAATCACCAAGGTAGCACCAGGTCCAGATCCCTATGCTTTTGCACTATGGATTTTCTTTATTGAGCACACACATATCACGTTTTTTGATTGTGTGTCATGTATCAGATGTGCTTTTAATGTCGTAGCTAATCATCTCTCCTGACCAGATTGAGTTTATCCCACAGAGTGGTTCCTGCATACTGGCACTTTTCGGTGGCTCTGTCTGGGTATGCCCCATATCAATACCTTTGCCTCCACTCTCTATCACAAATTACCCTGGTTTTAGTCAGTCCTCTTTTTTCGCTATCTTCTATATCTCATCTCTACCCTCGTCCTGATCTGGATAGACTCCCCTGTCTTGTCTGTGCCCTCCATTGTTATATTGCTTTCACAGCTTCCTTTTGGGGTTCTCGTTTCCACCTTTTTATTCCTTGGCAACATTTCTCTTCCTGTGATCTTTCCCCAGTTACCCTGACCAATTGGTTTCAATGTTTGATCTAGTTGGCCTATTCCTTGTCTCCTTCCCAGCTTGATCTCTTTCATGTTTCATCACATCAAATCCATCAACTTACCCTCTCCTGCCTCATGTTTTCGTTGGCCATTGAAAGAGATTCTAAGATTGGGCATGTGGATGACCCTGCAAACATTCATCTCCCACTACCTATACCACATCAGTGTTTCTGCTTCTTCAGGGTATCACCTGCTGCTTGTGGCTATTCTACAGATTTTGGCACGGCTGTGACATGAGGTATGTCCTCACTAATGCTTTCTTTTCTTTCAGGGGCCCCTGATTCAGCTTCACTTTGGATCCCACTCTATGACGAGTGGTGCTTGACCAGGTATTCTGTCTGTACTTGGAATGGGTTCCACTTAGACGGCTATAACCATTCACAGATATATTGCTATCAAATTTGCACTGTAAGCCATGTTGATTCTTATACATTTTCCATGGCTATGAATGCTCACCTTTGGGATGTTTCCCAAGATCACTAGAGTGTAAATTCCTCATGATAATTGCATCATTATATGCCTGTCCCGGACCGTACCATCCATTGATGGCAAGGGTAAAGCAGAGGGGATTGCTGCCCATTCTTGCCATGCCTAGATTGAATAAATCAGTGTGGTCTGTTTTTCAAAATAGGGTTTCGGGATCGCTCATTGCACTGTCTTGGGTGTTGCAGTCCCTCTGGACTCTCCACCACACTTTTCTCCCCTTTCTTCCAGTGGAATATGGGAGTCCTTACCACTTACCAGTTCCAAGCCATTTGGGTGGTTGACTATGGAGGCAACCTGCTGGATGGGTTCCACAAAGATGGCTATAACCATTCAGTTCAGAGTAGGGCAGTGGTGTTCTGCTGGTGTAGAGGGAGTTACAAGATCTTCCCAGAGTTGAGATGCCCAAATCCAGTTCACCACTCCAGTTGGGTGCCCTCCTCCTACCTTTGCATGGATGTCGGTACCCAGCGATTGAGGTTTTGGAGATCAAGTGAATCAATCACGTAAGTCCTCACACAGGTTTCAGGTTTTCCATCTTCTCCTCTTGACTTGTCTTCTTTGTTGTGGGTTACAGAAGGTCTACATGGCCTGTTTCTGCTTTTGTCCTGGATTTTCCTTTGTTGTGGGTTGCAGAAAGTCTGCATGGCCTGTTTCTGCTTTTGTCCTTGATTTTCCTTTGTTGGTGGATGAGGTTGTTTTTGCTGGTTCATCGTTGCGGGGGTTGAGCGCATGCGATGGACTTCCTTCAAATTCCTGGTGACACATTTCTGGATCCCTGGCATTGGACTACCCTGTGAGTTCCTGGAGTCTAATGTTAGGTTCTTTCTTGACTCTGGGACTTGAGGTGATGATGGTATGATCCTCTTCCTACCCTTGAGAGGATGTTGGTACCCAGAGAGTGAGGTTTGGATGCAG